CTACAAAAACAGAACATCAAAAAGAAAGAAAGAAAGAAAGAAAAAAAACCCAAATAACCTAATTGAAGCATGGGGTACAGATCTAAACAAAAACCTCAAAGGAGGAAACTCAAATGGCTAAGAAACACTCAACGAAACGCTCATCATCCTTAGTCATCAGGGAAATGCAAATCAAAACCACTTTCAGCTTTCATCTTACACCAGTCTGAATAGTCAAGATCAGTGAAACAAATGACAGCTCATTCTGAGATATGGAGTAAGAGAAATACCCACCCATGTCTGCGGGGGAGTGCAAACTTATACAGTTGCTATGGAAATCAGTGTAGCAGTTCCTCAGGAAGACAACAATGGATCTATCTCAACATCCAGTTATACCACTCTTAAGCATATATCCAAAGGAAGTTCATCTGACAACAGAGACACTTGCTCAACAATGTTTATTGCTGCTCTATTCACGGTAACCAGAAATTGGAAATAATCTAAATGTCTGTCAACAGATGAATAGATAAAGAAAATGTGGTACATTTACACAATGGAATATTAGACAACTGTTAAAGAATGAAATCATGAATTTTTCAGGTAAATGGATGGAACTAGAAAAAAACATCCTAAGTGAGGTAATCCAGACCCAGAAAAACAAGTATAATATGCATTTGCCTATATGTAGATATTACGTGTTAGTATTATGTCATTACTAAGCAAGCTACAACCCTTGCACAGGATTAGGTTAGGGATCAGAGGCGAGGGATGGAATGCCCTAATATGGGGAAACAGAATAGATATTTACTGATGGATGATGCATGGGAGACAGACTAGAGAACCAAATAGAGAGGGAATAAAGATTGAAAAAGGAAATATTGGAGGGACAGCAAAAAACCAAGGGTCATTTGAGGGAGCATATGGAAACCTAATACAGTAGAAGCTTTTTAGTGTGTGTGTGTGTGTGTGTGTGTGTGTGTGTGTGTGTGTGTGTGTGTGTTAATCCAAATGAAATAGTCAAATAATGGGTGAGGCAGAGCCCCCAACTAGACATCTCTCCTCTCATCACTAAATGAAGCTTCTTCCAGCATCAGGAATGGGAACATCTAATCAAATTATTAGCTAAAGGGGTCCCAAACAACTCAGGCTGATGTCAAGGCTATAGGGTATTCTCCACAACCTTATAGCAAAGCCGTATTGCTGAAGACATCACCTACATAACTCATTGAACACAAAGAAATTAAGCTGGTGCCTAACTTGAGCCTTCAATCCTACTGAATAGTGTTCATGGTACTTAAAAGTACTCTACTGACTACCAAGTGAGAAAAGTAAACACTAACTCAGCTACCAACCCTTCCATCCACAATGGTGACCTGTTTTCAAGATGCACAGTTGCAATAGTGGCACAAAGCTTATGGGAGTAACCAACCAACATCTCATTTGACTTAAGGCCCACTTCATGAGATGGAACCTGTACCTAATTCTGCCCAGGCAGCCAAGAACCTGAGACCAGGTACTCTAGGGACCTAAGAGAAAACCAAAGACTACTGCTCTGCTGAAGGAACGCAGAAATAGAGTGACTCCTAAGGACATTCTGCCATACTCAGAGATCAGTGCCTTGCTTAGCCATCATCAGAGAAACTTCTTCCTGAAGTAAATACAAATACAGAGACCCACAGCCAGAAAATAAGCAGAGAACGAGAGGCCTTGGGATAGTCTGCCCTAAATGCAATGCCTCCATCATATATATCCCCTCAGCTCTCAGGGGAGTCTTCAGAAGAGGAGAATGAAAGAGTGTAAGAGCCAGAAAGGAAGGAAGACACCAAGGAAGCAAGGCCTTCTAGACACTGCATGGCCGAGGCACATCAGAGACTGTGGGAGCACGCACAGGGCCTACAAGGGTCTGCACCAGATAGGGCATACATCCCCAATCCATAAATTATCTCTGGTTGATTCCCAATTACAAACAAAAAATTAATTTTGCTCCCACGGAGGTCTCTGGCTCGGGCCCAGTCCTGTAGCGGTCTCTGACTCAGACCTGCTCCTTTGGCAGTTGCTCCTTTGTACCTGCTCACCTAGAAAACATCATAGTGAGTGAGATAATCCAGACTCAGAAAGAAAAATATCATATGTACTCACTCATAAGTGGCTTTTATACATAAAGCAAAGAAAAAACAGCCTACAATCCACAATCCCAGAGAACCTAGACAACAAAGAGGACCCTGGATACCTGCCTACTATCTACATGAGAAGTAGAAAAAGACAAGATCTCCTGAGTAAATAGGGAGCATGGGGACCACAGTAGAGTGTTGAAGGGGAGGGGAATGGAAGAGAGGAGAGCAAAGAAAAATTTATTGCTCAATAAAAACAATTTTAGAAAAATTTAAAAAAAGAAAAATTAGTTTTCTCCAATGGAGTTTCACTGGGGAAATAAACCATCCAAGGGCAGGCCATATCCCAGAAGTAGATGGCTGGTGCGGGAGAATTGTCTGTATTCTGTCAATCATGTTTTAAATAAACGTTGATTGGCCAGGCAGGAAGTATAGGCGGGTCAACCAGACAGGAAATAGAGACAGGGCGATGAAAACAGGAGAATTCTGGGAATATGGAAGCCCATTCCTAGCAGTCCTGCCCAGATCACAGAAGAAGCAAGATATGACCTGCCCCACTGTAAAAGGTACCAAGCCATGTTGATAACATAGATAAGAATAATGGGTTAACATAAGCTACAAGAGCTAATAAGAAGCCTGAGCTAATGGGCCAACAGTTTATTATTAATATAGAATCTCTGAGTGACTTTCTTTGGGGCCAAATGGCTGTGGGACCTGGTGGGAGGACAGAAACTCTAACAAGAAGGCCCTCATGTTACAGATGGCCAACAAAACGAACTAAGCAACATATTTAGAGGTTCTTGTTGTCGAATGTTGAATCAGTGCTTTAAACACACACACACACATACACAAACCAAGCCAAAACCAAAACCAAAAATCTTATAGTTCATATATATAGTCTCTGGTTTTAGGTTTTTATGAGATTCCTATGTGTGCAAATGTGTGTCTCTGCATCTATATGTGTTTCTTGTGCTTTTTTTTTTTGGCTCTTTTTCTTCTGTTTTGTCCTATTCTGATTTGTTTTGTTTTAGCTTATTATTATTCCTTAGATGCCTGTTTGTTTTCTAAGGCAGAAAGTGTGTGGCTCTGGATGAAAGGGAGGTGCAGAGGAAGTAGGAGGAGTAGGGGGAGGGGTAGCGGTCATCAAAATACATTGTATGAAAAAAATCCATTTTCAATAAAGGAAAAAACGGCTGGAGAGATGGCTCAGCGGTTAAGAGCACTGACTGATCTTCCAGAGGACCTGGGTTCAATTCCCAGCAACCACATGGTGGCTCATGACCATCTATAATGATATCTGGTGCCCTTTTCTGGCCTGAAGGCATACATGCAGGCAGAACACTATAATAAATAAATAAATAAATAAATAAATAAAAAATAAAGGAAAAAAACAAAATTATTCTATTAGTTTTGTTTAACCCACCTTTGAATAAAGAGAGCTGCTGGAATTAGTTTGAAAGAGAATATGAACACTGACTTATAAAGATAGTCCAAAGAACACTGAACTGAGCATGTTAACAAAAGTCAGGGAAGACCCTGTTATGTTTTCTACCCAGGAAAATCAATATCTCTATAAGTGAATTTCTTTTGTTTTATCACTAGTTTTCTACAAGCTAAACTCCTCTGAACACTCCAAGGTGCTCTTTCCTACTGGTTTCATGTGTCCAGTCTTTATCCGGTAGTCGGTTTACTCCATGGAAAGGACACACACGAATCACCTCTCTTTTCTAAGCCTTGGTCATGTTTTGCTTCTGCTTTGTTCAGTTTTTCACGTCTCTCTCTGCCTGGAGGCCTTTCAGATACCTAAAGACCAGCAACAGCTCATTTTTCTCCTGGAGTCAGGTGTTCAGATCGGCTGCAGGTGTGGTAGGAACAGGAGGCTTTTTATTTCAGCCACAAAGGGGAGAATTAAACTTGGGTATCCTTAAAGCCTGGGGGACAATATTTACCGTAAATCCTATTTACTGCCTAAGTCACTCTGAAGAAAACCTTTATTGTGAATTTTCTCTGCTAAGAAGAAGGAAAGGTGGGGCAATACACATATACATGTACAACTATAGCAATGAGCTGGCAAGAATAAAAACGGGGGTGGGGGGAGGCACTCAGACAAGGAGTATGCAAGGGTAGGTTCTGGTGCAGCCCTGTGTCAACATTACTCTAGACATAAGTTCATCTGACCCAACTAGTACACTTTTGTATGATCCTTACGTTTAGAATCAGAATATGGATAGAGATTTTTTTCAGGCACGAGCTATCTGCGTTTAGTGGCTCTAATTGGTATCTGGTGACTCTGAACCAGCTCTGCTTTATTACCAGTACTGCTCAGCCTATGAGCTCAAAGGATGTGCTGGACAGACCTGGACCAAGCATCCACAGAGTCACAGCAGGCTTGGGAACCCATGGACTTAATGACATACCCTCCCAGCCAATGATTTCCTGCTGATAGGAGGTTTCACCCTGCCTACTCCAGATCCCCATGGGGAGTCATTAAGCTCACTGCCCCCAGCCTAGCCAGACAAGGGAAATACAGAACATGCCACACTTTTCCTGTGCTTGTCGACACTCTCAATTTTAAAAGCATTGTTCAAATAGCAAATCTATATGAAGTTTGCTTCCTGACTTTAAGGTAGGCTGTTCCAGCATGTCACTGACGTGAGCTCAGAGCAAAACCAGAAACTGGTAAGACAGATGTGACCATGAAAATCAGGCCTAAAAAGGGACTGGAGAGAGATGCCCCAGGCTTAGCAGGATTTGGTGCTCTTTTAGAGGATTTGAGTTTGATTTCCAGAACCCACATAGTGGCTCACAACCCTCTGCAACTCCAGGCCCAGGGGATCCCTTCTCTGGCCTCCCAGGACACCACGCATGCACATGGTGTGCAGACATACATGCAGCCAAGCACACATAAAGGAATAAATAAAGTTTTAATAAAAGAGGCCTAAATATAGGAAGAGTCAAGGAAAGGAGGAAGTGTGGGGAAAACACGTGAATTACACTTAGAAAATATGGAATTGGTTTTCTTTGATGGAGAAACAGCATGGCTGACAGCAATGTTTTCATTTTGACTACAGAGATCTGGGGCTGGGGAGATGGCCCATCTGTTAAGAACACTTGTTGCTTTTGCAGAGAACTGGATTATGGCTTCCAGAACTCACATCAGGGGGTTTGTAACTACTTGTAACTCCAGCACCGTGGGTGTCTGCATACACGTGCTCATACACATAAACACATGCATATGCATGAGTAGAAATAAATTTTAAATAGCAATAATTACAAAGATTTTTCTGGTAGTAATTCAACCCAGAAAGGTCTAAAACTTATCAAACCACAAATTGATCTTTGGAAATAGAGCAGATTCGTGTCTCAATGAACGGACTCAGCGTAGCCTTTACAATCGCGTCGAACTTCTTTACACATCACAGCATTGAGAGATTACTATATCCAATGTACAAATCCCCATATGTGCTTCTGTAATTAATTACTGAAGTGAAGAAACAGGTATGAATACTTAAAATTCCCCAAATCACCCAAATTCTAATTACACATGCTTATAGGAAAGTTTCCCTGACTATGGCCACACTGTACCTCCCTGAGCACCAAGTGAGACTGTCTCACTCCCTGGACACCATGACCTTTGACAGAAGGCCCATTGCAGCTTAGTCATTAGCAGGAGTGAGAAAACCCAGGTCAGACCTTGGACTGCGAGAGGCCTTAATAAATATTTGATTTTTGTAAATATGATTAGGCAGAGGAAGACACTGCTGCCTAGCTCCATACTTTTAGATTTATTTTCATTTTGAGTAATTGCAATATGTGGAAACAACCGCCAATATCACTGAATCAGGAAGTCAGGCCGTTAGAAGATTAGGTCACTGAAGATTCTGCCCCCAGGAGTGCATAGCTTTCACTCGCCTTTGTTCTTCTGTCTCTGTGCTCAGAGCTTTTCACCTTAGGGGACCGATCTGCGTTGAAGGGACCATCTTAGAACCAGAGAGCGCAGCTTAACAAACACAGCTGGCGGGTCGGTGCTTTGATTTTGGGTTTCTTATCCTCCAAAACCGTCAGGAACGTTTGTTCTCTGTAAAGGGCCGAGGCCCAGGTAATACGTTGTGGTAGATGGGCAGAGTAAGACATCCTCTAAAAGCCGTATATGGCATGGGAAGGGCACAGAGCGAAAGGAAGGACATGTCGGACCTTTGGAGACAGGCTACCCAGAGAACAGGTAACGTTTTGCCCAAATACAGAAGGAAAAGTAAGACTCCAGGAGACAAGCTAGGGGCATTAAAAACGGAAGTGAAGAAAGAGGCGTGAGCCGCAGCTCAGGAAAGGGGGAAAGCGGCGCCTCTGGAGGTGTGGGCAGAATCTGCTGCCAAGAGTTAAGAACACCACGCTGGCTGCCAGCATTTCCAGTGCTGATGGGCATTACAGTGTGGACACACCTTGAACATATTATGTAACTGGCATAAGCCAGTCATGAAAGGAAAAATAGATGAGGTTGCATAAATAGTCAAATCCATAGAGACTGAGAGCAAAATGCAGGTTACTTGGTTTTGACGGGGAGGGTGGAGAATGAGCAATGATTAGTTTACCAGACAAGTTTCCATCTGAGATGGCGACCAGTCTAGGGAGGGTGCCTGGTGACGGTTGCACACCCAAGGATTAAAATGATTAACTGTTGTTTTTAGCCACAGTTTTGTTTTTTTTTTAAAAAAAAAAGAAGAAAGAAAAGAAAAAAGAAAAGAAACTTGAAATGATAAAGAATTTGAGGAGATAATTTAAAAACTTTCTTTCTAATCACTAAATGTAAGGAAGTAATTTCCTTGCTCAAACTGGTATTCTTTGGTTCTGTGATGGCGCCCTGCGAAGAAAACAGTAGGGGTTTAGGGAAGCAGTGAGAGGAAGGAGCAGAGAGATCATCTAATGGCCCAAGAGCACAAGGGATGATTTAAAGAGTCCTTCAACAGGAGCAAACCTTTTAGGCTCCAAGCAACTTTCATTTTTTTCTTTAAACCGGTCCAGGAGTGGCTTATTGCGGCACTTCCCCTTCCACCCACCCACGTCTTTCTTTTTGGCTATATCAACTCACACAAACAACAACAAAAAAAGAATTTACTCCTTTATCTGCAAAGAAGGGTTCTGTGCGAGACGTCTCAGGTTTTGCAGAAAGTGTCAGAAGTGTGAGAAGTCTCAGGTTTTGCGGAATCAAATCTTTGTTTACTGTTGAACCACATTTGATATTTTTTGTGAACTTCGACCGCCTGCAGGAGAGATCAAAAAGCGCAATCAAAATAGGTGTGGATGCAACCGGGCATCACTTCACATGTTAAGAGAGAGGGGAGCGACCTCTCGGCCTGCATGCAGCCTCGCCTCCCGCGCAGCCGCTGGCTCCCCGCAGGGGGACCCAGCGTTCAGTCGTGCGCAGGCGCAGCACTGTGCTCCGCCGCCCCGGGCTCAGTGGTCCCCCGAGTGGTGTCCCGGCTGCTCCCGGAGCCCCTGCCCGGTCCCCAGCTCCCATCCAGTACCAGCCTGGCGAGCCAGGCGCGGCCCTTCCCTGACCCCGGGAGGTATCATGCCAGGGCAAAGTCCCCAAGGGTGTGAACCCCAGTGTCCCAACCCCTGGGCGGGGACGGGCGGCGGCAGTGCGGGGAGCTGTGGCCAGCACAACCCGCGCAGCCCTGCCGCGAGCCGC